AAAAGTATTTTAGAAAAATATATTACCAACAATTAATGTGGTTTACTTCAGTGATTTTGTCAATAGGCTTATACGATCCAAACTGACATCACTAAGAGAAGCAATGAAAATTGGAGAAAAATGGAGGGAGGATACTGAGTAATTATATACTTCACAGCACTAATCGATCCTAATTCTACAACCACTGAGAAACGAGGAAGCACTGGATAGCCGTTTTATTATAATATAAGACTTCTCACTAGTTTATCCCACTAAAGACTGAACCCAGGACTCTCAGATCTCACAGCGAGCACCCAACTTTCCTGCCAGTAACCCATTATCCAAGATTCTTAATGTCTAATTTCAGTCTTTTCCTAGATGTGAACGACACTTCAAATCACAAAACGGTAAACATCATCTGATGCACGGCTGCAAGGTTAAACGTTCCTGAGTGTATTGTTACTTAGTGTCATGGTTATACATTGTTTCGATTTTATAACCATGGATGAAACAACTGGTCTTGGTTCTCAATAGTTTTTCAAATTATATATATAACTGACATGGAGTCATTAAATAAACATATGAACTCAAATTTCTATCTATGAATTGGATTCTAGAAAGTGTATGGGTTTTGTTTTGAGAAGATTGAGTGTAGGCAAAAAGAAATATCTACCATCTGATTTTCACTTTATACATTTTTTTAAGAATTTTGTTGTTTTTCAAAATCATATTCATAAGGCCTTTTCAAAGGTTGGATTTTGTTACTATTGTATTTATGTACGACAGTTAGTGATTGAACTCACCAACATCCTCATCTAAATGTATATGAACATACATTTGGTAGAATTATTCTCCCTGTTTCCTCATAATTTTTCCCACTCATTTAAAAACAGCAAATATATGAAACTAATGTGTTTTCTCATAGACAACTTTGTTATATTTTGTTTATACATTCTTTATAAACTGCTTTTAATAGTTGGTATTTGTGATAGTTTAGGACTTGTTATGTTTTAATCGAAAATTTGCAATAACCCAAGAGTTGCTTTGTCCTAGTGGAGGATACCTCAGGAGTGGGTATCCACTATCACATCAGAGATTCCTATGTATAATATCACACATTGTTAAAACTTATGCGATTTATTGTATGAACGCTATATTTATTCACTAGTGTTTGAGATACGTAAAAAGGTTGACTTTAATTCTTTTAATGTCACCAAGTAGTTCCCTATCACTTTAGTAACGTTTAACGTGTTTTGTTTTGAAGTAAATAGGTTATAAACCTGGAAAAGAAGTCAAGTTTACGGGTTTTCTCTAACTCACTATAAAGTCTTATGAGATTGGTTTAAATTCACAGTGTGATAGTTTGACATTCGTTTTATTTTCAGTGTAACATTTTAATCAGTAAGATATGGAGTTTGTAGTCTCTAGTGTAACATTATTTCAGGTCTATGTGTTTCGTATCGATCAAGTGAGAATTTTGTTTAGTATGTCCGGTGTAAACTTTTACCTAGTGTGACAATTACACTCTTTGTATTATTCTGTGTGAATTTCCTGTTTTTGATGGAGTTTTGTTCTCTGAGCATCTCATCAGCACAAACTTCTGAAGTTTGTGCTGATGATGTCGTTCATAAGAACGATGAAAGCTCCACGACCAAACCATCGAGCTCAGAGAACAAAACTCCATCAAAATCATCCACCTGGGCTACAGATCTCCACTATCTCGAATTTCCTATGTATTTTACAGTAACATTGTGTATCTTTTTATTTATATAACATTAATTCACTAACCATCAAGTGTGTGTTTTCGGTTTAACAACGTCGTGTTTTTGAAAAGTCAATAAATCTTCATTGCACCAATCTTTGAGTTTTCACCTCTCATCGTGGGAATTACAGTAGTTCACATTTCCAAGTTTAGAACCACGGATATCAAAATAAACAATAAAACCTTTTCTTTATTATTCATCTGAGCTTAAGAATCAGACAGTCTTACGTCTATAAAACTGAAATAAACTACACTACAATAAATTCTTCCAAATAACTTTATCAATCCTCATAATTCTTTTTTATATCCATTGATTATTAAGTGATTGATAACTTAATAATCTTTGGAAGTATTTGAGTCTATATAGTTAGAAAAATATGAATAGACACAACAACCTTACAGTTTACATTACGGACTAATCTTAGTCAGGCAACCATTCATAATCATGAAACACTGGATAACTTATTCATGGAAGTATAGAGCGACTGAAAAATCGAAAGGTTCTCGGTCCTATCATTGGTAGGGTTGTGGATGGGTTGGGTATTCCCAGGCTAGGATGAAACAGCTATCCACTACCACTTATTCGTCAGTGGTTGTCTTATCAAGGTCAGTACTTGATATAAATTATGAGTTCTAGTGAGAAGTCGTTACCAGTGGAGTTCAACCAGGTCTGTTGTGAGATAACAACTCACTGAAGACAATGGTGTACGGTGGCGCAACTTCGTGGATTGGTTGAAGTTAGACATTAACACCGTCGGATGCCGGCTGAGTGGTCTAGTTGGTTAAGCGCCTGGCCCGAGACTGATAGGTCCTTGGTTCGAATCCCGCGGGGGCGGGTTAGTGGATGCGCACTGCTGAGGAGTCCCATACTAGGACGAAACGGCCGTCCAGTGCTTCCAGGTTTCCTATGGTGGTCTAGCTTCAATTGGCTCATGATTTCAACTTGTGAAATTTCTAAAAATCTCCACAAAACCCATTCTGATAATTATGACTTTATCAAACCTACTCAAACCCCAACACTAACAAATAACATTATAATAAAGCCGAATGTAGTTCATTCTCTGTTGATACTTTACATTGACATAATTTTTAATATTAGGGATTCAGTTACTACTGACAAGTAACAAATTCGCCGTAATTAATATGTTTGTTGTTCAAGTACTAATTATAATAATTTACTTAATAATCTCCATGAATCTATTTAATGAATAATTTTAAAGGTGATTTTCATGACAGATTATTATCAGTTGAAGAAATAATGAAAACTAAGAATTTTTGAATAGGATGTTTTGTTTATATTTCAGTTTATTTAGCTGTGAGGACTCATACATGAAATAGATCCACATTCATCATTTATCTCTCATGGAATACGTTATTGAAATTGTTTGTTAATTATTATATTATACAAATTGCAATCATTCTAGAATAGATTGATATATGGCATTTTCATTTCATTTCTCGTAATTGAATATTGAAAAGAACGTATAGAAAAGAACAGTTGATCTATTACTTTTGTCGACCTTTCTATAAGCGACTGTTACGTTCAAAGTAGTATCATGTAACTTTTGTATATTTCTGTTATTATTTTAACTAGAAATAATTCCTAACTTGTCACAGTGTTATAACTTGTGGCCTGTGTGACCTGTTAGTATATAACGTGGTAATACCGCCGATTAGAGAACAGTAAATTATCGATTGGACCAATGATGCACAAAACCCCATGCGAGCAATCTAGAGTACTTATCAGCCCTGCTTCCTGCCTAGCCCAGCCAGTTAAGTCCAGAACACCAATCTCAGCCTCTGTGATATGAATCATGTATTTCAAACATACTGGGTTTATATACCAACAAGACAGACCACAGCATACCATAAAATAGAAAATAACATTCGTACAAGATTTAGCCAAATGTGGCTGTGAATAAGGGAGATAGTAATTGATGGACAGGGTATAACTCAAGAATAGTAAATCGTATAATAATAGTGCATAGATCAAAATAAAGCTCATAATAAGAGGGACATGAGTATGAATAGTTTGGTTATTTAGCAATTATACGATAAAAATATACGCATAGTATTGGTCTATAAATGGATCCCAAAAGTTACCATTCATTATTCTTATCGGGATATAACAGAGTAATATTAAACAGTCACTACGGAGAGTTTTTCTTAAGAAATCAGAATAATAAATGTTTTAAAAACTTCTGTGATTCTGAGAAAGGTTTCATATACGTTTAAAACAGTCAATCCTTTTGAGAACGTCCAGTAAATCTTAGAACTCGATTAATTAGTCACTTTAATGACCAATTTTAGAAAATTTTCTTATAATTTCTATAACAACATAATTTTTGTCCATTAAAAATCCTCACGATCCCCTTGAGATGGCTACTATTGGAATGTATACTATTGTTGTAGTCCTATTCTCTAGTCTGTACAAAAACTAAGAGTATTAAATTCACAAGAGTTTAAATTGTAAATATTTGGTTTACCACATTAGACAAACTCAAATCAAATGAACAGCAGTATGTAAGCCTAATGAAGTTACGATAATATATGATAGGGCAAGAATTAAACTTAACAGTTAGGCACTTATCCTTTGAAGAATAAGTGACCTACAAATCGATTTTGTCTAATCGTCTATAATAACTAATTATTTTATTTACTTGTAAACATTTTATGCACAAGTTTACTAGATACAAATATTTAATTGTTATAGCTATGGGTCTTGTTTTCTAATATCAGTTTAGTTGATGGCTTGTATCAATAACTTGGTCTTATGAGTAGCTATCACAAGGCCACATAGTACCATCCCATTTTATCTACTTTCAACATAACGTTTTTTTAGCTTAACGACAAAACGTTTTGTTGAGACATGCGACATCTGATGTCGAGACTGATACGGAATCCTCCTATGTACTAGCCTAACTGATTAGTCGAGTGAAGCAACCAACATTGAGAAAGGATTTTTATTGAACAACCGAATAGTCATGTATGTATACCCATATATATATCCTCCCCTAAGAAATTTGGGCCATCATTGATGAATGTCTCACTTCTAGGGAATGTAAGCCAATTCTTGTTCAGTCGTGTACATCTATCATTTAGCCGATTTCTGGTTAACCCAGTGTTTCAAACTCAGTCATGAAATCTTACTCCATATGTATACTGATGAGCATCAGAATTTATCGGTTGGACGTTTTTCTCATTATATACGTTTTTCACTACTCCTTAATCTTTCTTTTGCTTCGTTACCTTTCTGTAGTATGGAGGAAGTCTAATTCGACCACAGTCACCTCAAAGATTCGATATGATTCATGTGGATTTATCAGAAGAAAATGAAACAACATTAAGTGATTTTGTCAAGGAATTACAAAGTAAGATCAACTCAGTTGCAGTGAAGGTGTTTTGAAGGTTGAAACAACAATGAGAGGACAACACTGATAATGACAACGATAACACCAATGTTAACCAAATAGGAAGAATATTGTAGAAAAACTTTGTTTATTGAATTTATTATTATTATTATCATCATTATCATTTTTCCATAAAAAATTATTATATTCAATGAAATATATTTTATAACAATGAATGATACCTGTTACATAATCAAGTTTAATAAAGGCAGTTCAGTGAAGAAAACCGACTATTCGATGATTACATTTGTTAAAGTTACACAGTGGTATTTATAGTTAATTAGCATTTAGCAGAAAATTGTTAAATCATAAAAGAATTGAGAAATTATTAATTTAAAATATTCTCATTTGATGTTAGGTAGTTGGTGGTAGTCAACAGGAAACTCTGTACCTAGCTTTTATCTTATTAGTTAGCATGGATCACCTCCGATCTTAAGGGGACTGATGCTCCTTTTATGATTTGAACTTATTTCACTAAGTTTTACAGACCAATATATTGCTGCTAAGCTATTCGAAGTAACAATTTGCAGGGTATACTTAAGATAACTGCTCATTTGATAAGTGTAAAGAAGTGATGAATATACATGTCAGATAATCTTACAGAATTATTGAAATCTAACGACTGGGCGCTGGGACCATGGAAGAACGAAGTACTGTACACATAACATCTAAACACAGACATCAAGGTTAGATTGATGAATTGTTAGAACCTCAGCTATTCACTAATTCTTTACAGATTTTCCTAAGCCGTTTGGTTTTATCGATAATTTTTGAAGTTTGTATAGAGACAGATGATCGGAGTTGACCAAACTTTCAACAACACAACGGTTGAGTTATTTGAATTCGTCTTTAGATAACTATGCTAAATAGGATTCAGATATCTATTTAGAAAAGGCAAGTTATGTTTGGCCAACATAACGTACTCCATAGAAGGAAACATTCTGATAGATACACACTGAGGTAGTTCTCACGCCAGGTTCTCGTTAACATGTCCTTGGATCAACTATCTATTGGAGAAGATCACTTATAGATTAACTCAAAATAAGGTTATTCTTAAGATTTCTAGTCATATCCGATTTGAAAAGTATTTCGGTATTCATTAATGCAAAATGATTCTTTCATTTATATCTTTTCGTGATGAAACTCCGCTTTACGTCCCCCATATGAAACTGAAAAACGATATTTAAATTTGAGAATTTTAAATAAGTTAACTTCATAATACATTTAGTACTTGATTACTGTCATATTGAGATAACTGTTTACCATGAGATATTGTTTCTTCTTCATTAGTTGAGGTTGGATGATTGAAGAAAATCAACCTAACCTAGGTTTCACAGCAGCCACAACTTATTTACAAGGTGCATTTGAAATTTTAGGTTAACATACACTTTATCATGGACTTGGACCCATTTCCCCCAAATGTCATAGAATGAACTGTTATCACTTAGCTATCCAAGACGTCTTAACATTGTGTAGGACTTGAATGTCTACACTAATTAATATTTACTTCTTATTAACAACTTAGATAACTGAAATCTGAAGAGACTAACATTTATGGGTGAATACAGTCTATTTGACAACATCTCAACCAAGAAAGTCACTTATGAAACATATACGTATCTATTTTGCATTCTTTATTGATTGTTATCTTCATTATTAAACAGATGAGCTGATTTCTATCAAATGTGAAAAAACATGTTCAAATTGCCTGCGATGAATTTAACCGTTTTCCAACATTTAATCAAATTGAACATTTACTTAAGGCTTGCAAAACAAAAATGTTCCGCCTTTGTTCTTACAGAATTAATTAACCCTATCAAGAAACTCTCTGATCTCTCTCACTTTTTTTTAAAATTTTGTTTCCACGATTTAATTAATGTAACTTTCTATTGTAAATGTCATGACATTTCATTCCTTTCAAGTAATGAATTCTTAATTTAATCCACGATAAGAATCGAAATAGAAAATCAGGATGCAAGTAAATTCATTTATGCTATAAGGTTGCTAGTTGATGTAATACACTCGCATTCAATAAATCCGTTATTCCGTAGAGAATTAGATACAGATAAGAGAAAGTGTTTATTAATAAAAGGGGCAGAAGGTAGAAGTATATATTACAATATAAACAAATGGTGAACTGGATATGCTGTCTATATTCTTTGACCAATCATATGCCATATGGGCTGAATGAATGAAATATTCATTTTTGTGATCAATAAGGCGAAATGCAGGTATCACTAAGTCATGGTTCGAAAACGACCTGCTTCTTCAATGCAGTTTAGTCTTTTGTAATTCAAATGAATGGATTAAAGTATATTGATTTATAGACTGTGATTTAAATGGTATTCTTAATTGGCTCTCAATATGTGTTTACAATAAAATAACTTATAGAACAAGAAGAAAGAGTTAATCTAAACTATTCAAAATTCTAATGAAATGAAATATGACAAACTATACTACTAACATTCATACTCCAACTTCTGATTTCACCGACATGAAGTTATCTACTATTAAAATGTATTATGAATTTGATAGTTTCTTGAAAATTACCACGTTATAAATGCCGATTATATATGTTGCGTTCGTTGTTTTTGTTGTACCAAACCATCTGAATCCTTCAGTATCAAATCAAACAACGTAACCAATATTATACCTTGCAGAATGGATAAACAGCCAAATCCTGGATCCGCGTTTCGTCCTAACTGATACTTATCACTTGGGCATATTTGCATCCTAGCGTCGATTTTCACATCATTATATATATAATAAATTATTATTAGATGTCAAAGTACTATCCATTTAGCCACTGAGCAAAAGTAAGCCTTAACTTGTTAGGGCTATTCCAAATAACTTGTGACAAATGGGTATCCAAATAGGGTAAACATATACAACAAAGAGTGATCAATAATTCATCTCTGAATGATAAACAACCAGGTAGTTCGGACTTTTAAAAACAATAAAACCAACACTGAACTATTTTAAACATTAAATAAAACGTTTAGAATGTCTTTTATTGTATACTTAGAAGTGAGTGCATTTTTCCAAAAGTTGTGATGAATCTTTACCGTAAACAGATATCAGATAAGAATGTCATGCAGTATCACGAACCGATTAAAGTAGTACATGTAAATCATTGAATGCCAGTTCAACTGTTTAAAGGTCAAGCACTCACCTTGAGTTTTGGACGTCTTAGACTAAACTCTGAGTGGGGTTTAGATGAGCACCACTAAGGAGTTCGATAATAAGACGAAATAGGTGTCCAATGTTTGTTGATAATCTAATTAAGATTGGTCTTATATGTAAATAGTGAGTACTGAACGATTGACTTACTATACTTTAGCACTCTTCTGTATTGAACACTCATCAAACCACAGAGGGTGGGATAAAATAACTTTGAACGAAAGCATAAAATGGAAATTCTGTTATTTTGGATGTTAACCACTGAAAAACTAGGAAACAGTGGATAGCTGTTTTCATTTGTCAAGTGAAATTTGACTCGTGATGCAAACTATAAAACAATACTTAAGTTTCTCGTGGGATTTGTCAAAGATCATAGGTTACGTTATTGCCTATTGGAAATACGAATACTGTTGTAGAATATATAATTTTATGTTAATTTAATTTGCAAGAGTTTTTGAGTTATCCTATTGATAATAATTTGGTTGAAATTTGATCGGTTTCAAATGGCATATATGTATTCTGTGCAAATCACCTCGATATAGTCATTTTGTGGCTTTTTTAGAGAAAATATACAGTGAAGAGATAGCGCGTTTTCGGGTTTGAAGTGGAAAGTACTAGGTTCGAATCTTAGAGTGAACAACTATTAGATACAAATACATAGAGCTAACATGTCCCAAGTAGGACGAGACACGTTTCGAATTTTAATGCCAGCTACAGTCCGGAATTTCATGTTAGATTGTCACCTGATTCATGGTGCACAACTATAAATGTTTTTAGTTGTAGAAGAATAAATGAAGATGGAAATAATCTAGAATATGTTGTCCAGTGAATCAGTATACATACATTTTGATGTGTAGTTAATAAATATTTGATTTATTACATCATATTCAACGCATTAAGTGTAGCCGTAGTTTCGGATTTCCAAACGTTGCTATTAATTAATTGTGATGCATCGTAAGCTTTCATTGGGTGAGTTTTAAGTCTAACAATATAACAGAATAAAGCGAAGTTCTTATCTGCCATCCATAGCATGCCGATTAGTCATTTTCGGTAGCTATTAAGACTACTGTGCAGTCTATCAGTAATTTTTCATATTGAATAATCGTATTATACAACTCGTTAGTGGGTGATAAATAAGAAAAACTGTGTATCAATATTACTGTGTTTAAATAAGATTAGACGTTGGCTAGCAGTATGGCAATAAAAGAGACTGCTCTGTACAAAAGATTATGCCTATTGGGGTTTTCTCTTGGTTTGCTATACTTAAATATTAAGAAACGATTGAGTTATACTAAATACGGATAGATTTGTTGCGAACTCGATGACACCATCTGGCGCATGACACTTCAACAATTTGCCAATAACATGGGAAGGAGATGAAGTATAGGAAAAACCAACATATTAAAGTAGAACAAAGCAGAATAAATCGAAATGGTACAATTCAGTATATATGGTATAGCAAAAGTATAACCTTGTGGCATACGGAAAATTAGAAAACTATTAGTAGTAGCAACCAATCGGAAAAGGAGAAAGACTTGGGGGAAAAATTAATTCGAAAAAAGAATTCAAAAGTTACCATCGCTAGTAAAACTTTAGCGTTATTAACATAAACTGAGTAAACTCATAATTATTGTCCTGAAACTCCATCATACTAATTTGTTAATACAGACTTTGTAATTCATGATGAAATTTTCCACAAAATTGTTTAAAGCAATGAGAAGAACTCTGAAAGTATCCTTTAGTGTGATATATGAACTAATGTAACAATCATCCACAATATTAACCCTGTAAAATTTTGTAAAAACTAGATCAGACA